CCCTAATTTATATTTTTAACAACAGTGGAGAGTCCCCATTTCCCTGAATCCTTACTAACCTTTGTTAGTTCTTATCTTTTTGAGAATAGTCATTCTAACTGGGGTCTAAAACTATTTTTGTTTAAATTTTGATATACATTGCCATCTAGCTGTCCAGAAAATTTATTTTAATTTACATATATCAGTAAATGAAATCTATGATCAATCTCATCCTGATCTCTCTCCATTCCTTTTTTTTTTGGGGGGGGTGGAGAGAACCAGGGATGGAACTCAAGGACACTCAACCACTGAGCCACATCCTTATTCTGTATTTTATTTAGAGACAGTGTCTCACTGAGTTGTTTAGAACTTTGCTTTTGCTGAGGTTGGCTTTGAACTCGAAATCCTCCTGTCTCAGCCTCCTGACCTGCTGGATTACAGGTGTGCACCACTGTACCAGGTCAGTTCTTTTTGTTGTTGTTGTGAGACTAGATCTTGCTATTTTCCCCAGGTTGGCTTCAAACTTGCAATCCTCTTACCTTTACATTCTGAATAGCAGATATTCTAGGCACGTGCCAGTGCATTGAGCTCCTTCCAGTTCTTACTGGACAGGGACTATAACTTGTTTAATATTTTTATTTTTATTTATTTTTTTGGTACCAGGGATTGAACCCAAGGGTGCTTAACCACTGAGCAACAATCCAGCCCTTTTTTATATTTTATTTAGAGACAGGGTCTTGCTGAGTTGCTTAGGGCCTCACTAAGTTTCAAAGGCTAGCTTTGAACTCTGAATTTTTCTGCCTCAGGCTCCTAGGCCACTGGGATTATAGGTGTGTGCCACTATACCCAGCTGTTTAACATTTTTATTATGAAAAATTCCAAACATACACTGAAGAAGAGAGATTATTTGACAAATCTTGTGTGAATGTTTTAATCCTAAATAAATATCAACATCATAGATAGGAAACAAATAAAGCAAAGGAAAGCAAACTGAAATTTGATTGGGTTTTATATTCTATTTTTTAAAAATATTTTTTAGTTGTCGATGGACATTACAACTTAAATTTTTAAAATTTATTTTTATGTGGTGCTGAAGATCGAACCCAGTGCCTCATACATGCTAGGCAAACTCTCTTAATATTGATTCACAACCCTATCACTCATATTCAATTTTTAAAAGTCAGATTATTTTTAAACCTTTTCTGTGTTACAATTACCATAAAACCTTAATCATCAGGACCCTAAAAATGGGAAACCTTTGCTAACTAGATTCTTTCCTGATATTCTATTCTGAGTGGTGGATCATTATAATCTGATAACAGATATTTACTTTTAAAATGTGATATTCAGGACTGGGGTTATGGCTCAGTGGTAGAGTGCTTACCTCACATGTGCAAAGCTCTGGGTTCAATCCTCAGTACAACATAAAAATAAAGTTATTGTGTCYAACTACAACTACAAAAAATAAATATTTTTAAAAATGTGATATTAAAGGAGTGACCTGGACTGGTCCACTAAGTACATAGTTTTATATTGCATTTCCAGTTTTATGTGCCGGGTATCACATAGATCATTTTTTCATGTCAATTTTATTTAAAATAACTTCTAGGGCTGGGTTTGTGGCTCAGTGGTAGAGCACTTCCCTAGCACATGTCAGGCACTGGGTTCCATCCTTAGCACCACATAAAAATACATAAATAAATAAGGTATTGTGTCTATCTACGACTAAATTTAAAAAAAAATAACTTCTAGAGGTAGCTACTAAGGAAAAATATGGCTTGCATATTTTTCTTTCTTGTCTCTATTCTTATTTTTATGCCATTCCTGTATACCTGGAAAAAAAATTTCAAATATCAGTTTATAAGCAATTGCTCCTGGTTTTCTTCTTGGTTGATGGAGTAGCACAGCATAGTGAAAAGTGCTCAGCCCTTGGAGTTCAAGTCATGGCTCTTCTTGGGATGTGTGTGTTCTGGAAAAAAGTCATTTAACCTTTCTGAGCCTTGTTTTAGTCATGGGCGAAACAAAGGGATTAGACTGAAAAGAATAACTTCTTCCTGTTCTGAATTTCTCTCATGTCATGAATTACTGTTCCCAATATCTGGTTTTATTCATGGAGAATCTCACACTGAATGTGATCTAAAGATACCCAAAATATTTCTACCATCCACAATGCCTGTGCAACTGCCAAAAGTGATCAATTTCATTGAGTTTAGCATTGTCTTTTCTTTCTAGTCTTCTTTTTGAGAAGAGAAATACATAAGGGTGCTTCACTGTGAATTAATTACTCAGGTCACTTTTTTCCTACCTTGGAAAGCCAGGGATTTTGAAGTCTATAGATTGGAAGGAGGAAGGAAAGGGTGTACACAAAAAGACGGGAAGGGTATAAGAGACAGATTTCACTTCCTTCACATTCTTTTGCAGTTGGGCTTTGAGCTTGGCAAGGCTCAAACATGAATAGTCTATTTGGTACCAGATTGGAACCAGGAGATCCTGGCTTAGTATCAGATTCAGGTGTTTCTGATGGATTATGAATGGAGTTCTTTATTGAGTTTTTTAAATAAACAGGTATTTGTTTAGAAAAGCTAAAGCATCCTTTTGAGTAATTCATGTACATTGTTTCAAGGCCATTATCAGGTATATCCTACCATTGCTGAGGCTGGCTTTGAACTTGTGATCCTCCTATCTCAGCCTTCCAAGCTTCTGGGCTTATAGGTGAGGGCCACTGCACATGGCCCCCAGGCATATCCTCCCTATCAATCACAGTAAGTGTAAGTAGCAAAAATCTGTATCATGAGATCCACTTCCTAATCCTAAGCATCCTCTTTTTATTATCCTCTGGTGGTCCTGTTCTAATTTCCATGTTGGTCCTTAGAACTGCAGAGAAACCCTCATCTCTATTTGTTCATTTTCTCTATCTCATATCAGCAGCACTTGACCTCTCCCGTCCTAGAGAAAAGCAATCTATTTCTCTGCATTTCTTCAATGTTGAGACAGTACTGACAATAATTTCTGCAGTTAATGGAGAAAGACTGTTTAAAGAAGTTATTGCTTTTCTTTTTTCCTAATAATATTTATCATTTATTGAGCCTTATTATATCACATGCACTTGCATCATTTTCTTTGTCACACCTCTGCACTCATTTTACAGGTGGATCATAATTCTGGGTGATTGTGCAAGGTTTTCTAGCTAGGACCAACTGGCTCCAGGGCTGAGCTTTTTGCTCACTGCACTAGTCTGCTTCTTCTGCTTGATGTCTACACTCTTGGTACTGCCCAGATTGGTGTGTAGGAGACAGGTTTCCTCTCTTGGTGGCAAACAATGATTCATTCTCATGTCTTAGAGGAGGCAGACCTAGCTCATGGGGAAATAATTTACAAGCCTAATGCCCTAGGAAACTCAAACTATCATTTTTTTCCTTTGTTTATTGTTTATTTTTATGTGGTGCTGAGGATTGAATCCAGGGCCTCACACATGCTAGGTGAACACTTTACCGCTGAGCCACAACTCCAGCCCTGTCTTTTTTTTTTTTAAAAAAAAACAAATTATTCTTATAGTACTGGTAGCAAAGTCAAAGGAAGACTTCGGCCTAAAAAAAAGCCTTTAACTCTTTTTTGGTTTATTAACTTGTGGGTTACACATAAATGTATCAACTTAACTGCAAAAGTTTTTTCAAAGTCTCATTTTATTTTTTGTTATTTTTTATTTTTTTTTATAATTAATTATACATGAAAGTAGAATGCATCTTGACACATTGTACATAAATGGAGCATGCCTTCAGATTCTTCTGGCTGTACTCATTTTGGTTAACAATTTCAATTGCCTTTAGCAAACTGTTTATTTCCAAATGAAGATCAGTAAGTGAATCTGAAATTTCTTTTTGAGATGTATTTTATGTGGTACTAGAGATTGAACCCAGGGGCACTTTAACCATTGAGCCACATCCTCAACCCTTTTTTATATTTCACTTAGAGACAGGATCTCACTAAGTTGCTTAGGACCTCACTAAGTTGCTGAGGCTGGCATTGAACTTTCCTTGGCCTTCCAAGCCACTGGGTTGAGATGTAATTTTGAAAAGGAACTTGGGCCTGGAAATCTGAAGACCCTGGTCTCAATACTGGATCTGCCACCTACGAGCATGTAATTTTAGGCAAATAAATTTGCCCTTGCTGAACCTTAGTTCTTTATCTGTGAAATAGGAATAATAATATTTTCCCTGCTTAACTCACAGAGATATTGTGGTAGGAAGTTTGTCATTAGGAAGTGTTTTGTAAAATTCAAAGTATTCTGAGAATAAGGTATTAGGCACAATGAAGCAAAATGCTCAAAAGGTCAACAGTGGGAAGGATACTCTCACCATGGCCCAAAGCAAGGAGTTCACCAAGAATTGAATCACAGCAGAAAATTGTGCCTTTCCAAAAATGGTTTCTTAGTTTTAGAGGTGCAGGTGCAAACTGGGCCTCTAGTTGAATCCATGAGAATCTTTAACCCTCTCATCTCCAGGAAACCAGTCTTGGTTCTCATCTAAACCCAGTACTCATCCCAAGAGGGAAAATAACATGAGGATTAGGTGAAATTCTGTCACTCAAGAAGCCAGGAGCCTGGATAATGCTGAATGGTGAGCAGATTAAAAGAGAATGGATTATATACCACCTTGGATACAAGCACAAAGATGTAGCAACAGAAGAAGAGACAGGAGAATATAGATCATATTCAAAATTATAGACCCTCCAACTCATGAAAGTCAATTCCAGTTAGAACCCAAATTAATCTTCTGAGTAGTCCAGACAGCACCCAGCAATGTATGAGAGTTCATTCAATGTAATGCGATGGTGGTGGTGACTGTCCTTAGTCTTTTTCTTTTCTCCTTGACTATAGTTTTCCAGAAATGGGTGCGGATGCAAGCTACCAGTGCCCAGAAGGAAGACTGAAGGAAGGAGTATGAGCATCTTCTCCCCCTCCCGCCCAGCACCCCCAGCCCATACAGTCAGGCTTGGGAGCCTAGAAGGGTTTCACTTCCGCCTGGCTGCAGGAACCACAAGTTCCAGACTAGGTCGGAATTGGAATAATCATAGTCAAAATACACCCAGATGCTCTCACACACCCAGGCGCGCGCGCATCCCGGGGCCAAGGGGCGCACGTGAGCCCACACCCCGCGCACCCAGCCCTGCCTCTCGCCAGAGCATCCTCAGCAGCTGCCACAGAAGCAGCCTCCTCCTTCTTTTCCTCCTCCTCCTCCCACCGCCGCCGCCGCTGCTGTGTGATCTCCTATCCCCTCTCCTCCTCCTTCCTCCCTCAGTTCCTGCTCCTCCTCCCACCCCTGGCTCCTCCTGTCCAGCAGCTAAGGGCAGCAGCTCTCCCTCTCTCGGGCCCGCGAAGAGGCTGGAACAGGTCTGTGCGCGGGGTGGAGTGTGTGTGTGGGTGCTTTGTTGCGGGTTGTTGGAGCGCCCGTGGCTCCCAGAGCCGCTGGGAGGGGCACCGGGTGGATGGGAAGGAGGGTAGATTATTCCTGTTTTAAGTCTTGCTTTATGAATAAATGGGAGACATAGGGTGGGAAGGCAGCTCTGTCCCTTTGCCAGCTCGCCTTCCCTCTTGGTTCATGGCGAGAGAGAACTGAAGCTGCCCGGACTCCTGCCCCCGCCCATCCCTAAAGCTCTCTTTCTTTGCGCCCTCACTCCCTGCATCCACTTTCCAGAGCTGAGCTTTCTCTTGTTCTGGGAGCACAGGGATGGGGGCGGGGAGAAATGGATGGAGTCGATCCAGCGGGGCACCTGGGTGCATGGAGCTTTGTTACATATAACAAAAACCAGTCCTCACCAGCTTCCAGTTCCAAGCTAGGCTGCTGTCTGCTGGCGGAGCCGGGTGTGGGCCTGGCAGACTAGGGAAGTGAGAGAATGTGAGGGGGCACTCCCTGTGTGTGACGGGGCATATAGGAATGCAGTGGTGTGTGCCACGGACGTGGTGCGGATTTTGTGTGGGATTCAGTGAGTGTGAGTTGGGGTGGTGTGTGTGCGTGTGTGTCTGCGCCATAGGGCTGGGCTATTCCTGGCATTATATGTCCTTGGGTCTTATTCCATGCCAAGCCAGACTGCAGCAACACGCAGGCAGGAGGATCAGGTCCAACCTGTTCTGCCCACGTTGGAAGGGTAATGATGGTTTCAAAGTGATGGAAATCCCCCCAGCTGGGGCAGTTGCTTAGTACTTTTGGGATGTGGAATTTTCAACCAGGTTGACCAAGACCTGCTGGACATCTTTATAATTCCCCCCAAAATGTCCAACTTTCTTAGCAGGTTTTCTTTTCTCAGCCAATGAGAATCAAAAGTTCTTATAGTGATCCCTGCAGTGCCTCCTTCACCCCTTTAATTAATGGATTCTTATGTCTTCCTTACTGCAGAGAAGTTAGTGGTCTCCTAGGATGTAGCTGTGTATTTGGACAAAAAGGATCAAACTAAATACACCTATGTATTAGTCCAGAATTTGCTTTAGAAGTTTTTTTTTTTCTCCTTGAATCATAAAGTGTGAAGTGGTTTGGTAATTTTGTTTTTAATTAAAGAAAGAAAAGATCAATAAGATGAATAAAACTTCTAAACCTTCTCTATGACATTTTTATTTGTGATTTTAATAAAGCATTGCTTTTCAGGGTCCAAAAATATACAGTTAAAGGATATACTGATGTTTATTGCACACCTGCTATGTGTCAGTAATGATGTTAGGTACTGAAAGTATAGAAATGAATAAAACATCATCTCAACTCTCAGAGAGTGCAGTCTGGTATGCAAGATAGAGTGTGTAAACAGACAATTAGAATTGAGTGTGACAATGATGGGCAGGGTATTGTGGGAGCATTGAGGAGGGGTGCCTGGCTGGGGTGGGGATTATGCAAAGGCAGGCTACATGGGGAAGGTGACATTTGAGTTGAGTCTTCAAGAATTAATTCACCAGGTGGCTAAGTGGAGAATGGCATCCTAAGTTGAAGGAACAGCATTATGAAGGCAGAGAGGTTATAGTAAAGTAAGACTGCAGGGAGTCTGGAAGTATTACTGTCAAATTCTCAACAAACCCAGGATGAATGTATGTAGATTGGAATGATGATTAATGGAAAATCCAAAAGGAGCCAGTAATGCAGATTGATAAGGATCAGAACACATCCCCATCTTAAGAAATGTCTAGCTCATTTGTTAATATTAGTGTCTTTTGCTTTAAGCCAATCTGATATATGTGAATGGATTTGCAAGGCAAATAAACTAAATGGACAGTGTTCACATGTCGAATTTGTTGCTTTACAAAAGAATTCACAATCGCATCATCTTAAATAACAGACTCTCTGATCTTTATAGTGAATATTTTTTTTCCAAAATTTCATCAACACAGAATTTTTCACATAGCCAGTGGATAAAGACAGATATACCCACATTACAGGTACTTTTAAATACAACTTATCAATTTTAATGCAGGAATACCTCCTTATGCTGTGGATGTTTAATAAATACTAAGAGAAAATATGAAAATGATAGCAATAAATATTGAATCCATTGTAATTTTTACTGGCTGTGATCTCTCACCCATTATATTATCTATAAAATACAAATTAACCATGACAAGATCTTCAGATACTTTTACATTTTAGGTATTTTTAGTAGTGTCACTGGTTATCAACAATAGCAACCTGGAACGTGGTGCACACCTTTAATCCCAGTTTCTCTGGAGGCTGAGGCAGGAGGATCATCAGTTCAAAGCCAGCGTCTGCAAATTAGTGAGGGCCTAAGCAACTCAATGAGACCCTGTCTCTAAATAAAATATCAAAAAGGGCTGGGGATGTGGCTCAGTGGTTAAGTGACCCTGGGTTTAACCCCCAGTACCAAAAAAACCCACCAAAACCAAACAAACAAAAAAACACAATAGCAGAAGATTTCTGTGCTGTATGTTTTGAAATGGAAACATAATGACTACTCTAATATTTATACAATTAAGCTAGAATAAGGGCACGTTTAGAGTCTCCTGTTTTGTTGTGCCAGTGCTGGCTGCAAAGGTTGATGAACAGGACTAGGATTGATGCTAGAGATTGATTATTTCTACCAGAAGTGCCTGGTAGGTACAAAATCATGCCAGTTAAAACTGTGAACTCTGAGAATATGGATCAGCATTTTGAACACCATCTCCCTTAAATGAAGACCAGAAATAGTCTGGGTTCTTTTTGAAAAGAATGTCAGAAGAAGTAGTGGACTTGAATTGACTTGCTTCTTCTTCTGATCAAGGTGCTTTGTTCACTGTTGATACCAAAAGCTATCAGATAATATCTCTAAAAAACATCCCCCACAGCTGAGGCTATATTGGAACTGATCTTTCTTCTGTCCTGACACTCAAATCAGTCCAGTGGCAAGATCAGTGCTTCTTGATGTGTGTTCCAAAGAAGACAGAATGCTAGTAGTCACCCTTCTATGCACACACACATGGAATTTTGTGGTTAAGTTTTGGAAATTTTTGCTTAAACAAAAGCAGATTTGCTTGCTATAGAGCTTCTGAAAGCCTCCACTAGGCTAATGTATATTGTGACTCTCCAGGAGAATAAAATACAGCATTTCTCAGATATTTGTTGACAGAATCTGGTGTTTCAATGAGCATTTGGCTGGACTGGTGTTAAGAAGAATATTCCTTGGGCAATGCTGGGTGAGAGCATTCTTCACTTGGTTCAGAGGCTGTTGATATCTTGCTAGTAAACTTGGATGAGAGATATACTTGGATGACTTACTTTACCTCTGTTGCTTTTCTTTCCTCCCCTATCTGTAAAATAAGGCTGATAATAATCATTGCTCTCACTGACTGTGATGGTGTGATGACAACTAAGATAATATCTCTGCAAGTATTTTGAGTTCCTTAGAAGAAAGGCTCTATGTAAACTCAAGGTTATTATGAAAGGGAAGTTAAGAATTAAAGCAATTATCCTGATAGTTCAGGCCCAAATCCTGTTTTTCTGCTGAGTTATTGGGCAGACTGCCTCAGTTCTCTGCTTTGCTTTGACTGCAAAGACCTATCCTCATTCAACCTTGGGTGACTCAGTTCTCTGGGCTGATTTCTTTTCACATCCTGAAAATTTCAGTGTGGCCTTTAATTTCCTGATTCAGAGTTATCATCAGTACAGACTTCAGAAAAAACTCATCAATGTGAACACACCCTGCTGACCAGAGAACCCTGGAGGTGGGAATTAAGTTGAGTGGAAAGTTGTTTTTATCCTTCACAGTTATTATCTTTCAGAAGCAGTTTTAAAGGCCATCTTGGAAGCTCACTGCTTCAGGGTCCATCTCTAGTGGCCCCAGTGCTCATTCTGGGTTGGAGTCCTATTTGATGGAATCCATTTCATCAAGGCTGAAGCCTCTTTAAGGAAATACAGAGGCAGAGGAAATGGCACTCACATGATTATTGGCCCTTCCTGGTTCTCTTGACTCCTGTAAATTCTCTCAATCTCTTTTCTTTACAAAGTGCCCTGAAAGAAGAATAGAGCTCTTGAGAATTATGACTAATAATCATTGCAAAATAAGGCTATATGGTGCTGGAAAGGGAGAGCAAAGTTGTTCTCTGTTTTTGACAACTTAGTAAAGATGTTTGCCCAGGAGGGGAATTTCATCAAATGGTACATATGCAAGTGCCTTTACAAGTTCATCTGGTGCAAAACTGTTTGGATGAGGAAATCAGGACCACAGAAGTGAAGTGAGTTGCCCAAAGTTACACCGTAACCACCTGAGAGAAGTCAAATAGCTAAAACTCACATCTGCTATCTCCTAGTGCTCCTCTATTACATCTAGTTGCCTAGTTGTGTAGTGCAAGGAATGTGGGTTGGCTTATTCAGTTGGATTTGGAGGTTATTTTCAGGTCTAAGCTGTGTGGGCTTCTAAGTGGTGGCTTTAGCAGAGGGACAGGTTTCTAGTGGAGCCCCCAAAGACCATGATTCTTTCATATCCTCTCCATTGCTCTTGAGTGTATGATGCTCAGACTCAACAAGCCAATTGGACAGTTGGAAGCTCAAGGAATGGTTGTTCTGCCCTACATTCTCAGCTGGATGACTCAGTCATCCCAGTCCTTCTACTCCTGTAGTTATCTTTGTGGGCCAAGGACCTTCTTGAAAGTCTGATGAAAGCTACTGGTGTACTCCCCAAAGAAAGTCCTACACACCCTAACATGTTCATGTAATTTCAGGACTATCTAGGTCCAGAGCACCAGTGTGGCTTATTGTTCATGTTGATGCTCAGTCTAGGGTCACTTGTAGATCTTCTCTAAATACTAAAGATTCAAAGGTTGAATTGTCAACATTAACTTGGGGGCAATTGGAAATGCTGGGGTGAAGCTTGTGCCAAACAGTCTGGGAGAGGGGTAGTTAGGGTGGAAATTCTTTAAGA